ACCCTAAGCCCTAAACCCTAAACTATCATGCCAGGGTTCGCCGTGTCCACAAGCACCACAAGATCGCCCCGTGGGCTGCTTTCCCGATAATCCGTGCCTGGGCTTGGTAGGTTTGGCCTTTGGGTTCAGGGTTTAGGGTTTAGGGTTTAGGTTCTTGTTTAAAGGGTTCCTTGAAGGGCTCTATAAGGGCTACTATAAAGGTTTAGGGTTTAGGGGGCTTAAACAATTAACAATATTATTTGTGTTGTTGGGGGGGGGTTCCTTATCATAAGTATAGCTATAATGTACCCCCAAAAACCTATTCTAATCATTTAAGCCCCTATATATTCGACCCTGAACCCTAAACTGGGCTCTTGTTGAGGGACCTAATTTCAGTTACCACAATAGGGATCTATAGTAAATATTTGTCTCTTTATTATGGCAGCTTAAATCAAATTTGTCAACAAGAACCCAATACGCCTTGTTCGGGAATCCTGGGCTTCGGTTTTGCCGATGAAGTTTCAGGGTTTAGGGTTTAGGGTTTCAGGTTTCCTTGCTTCAAGGCTTCAGAAGGGTTCATTCACTAGATCTCCCACCAGTCAGTCACCAACACAAAACCTGTCGATGGTAACTTCTGTTTAGGGTTTAGGGTTTAGGCTTGCGCCCGGCAGGGCCGCTACCAGCGTGGCGGGGTGAAGTTCGGGGCATTCTCGGTTCTAGGATCGGCACGCGTTCATAGGGTTTTGGGGTTTGTAGGATTTAGGGAATTTAAGGGGTTATAAGGGTTATATGACACAGCACATGAACTTCACTTCCCCATCTCAACAAAAGCAGCGGCACAACGAAGCAACTCGTCATCTCCCGGAGACCACAGACTTGAAACTGCCTTTAGCCTAAACAAACCTCTCAAGCCGTCGACCCCGGAACCTCTAAACCCCAAAACCCTTCAGTTTAGGGTTTAGGACGTAGGGTTTATAGGGTTTAGGACTTAGGGTTTAGAGAATCCTCAACACCCAAACCCTACACCCCTAAACCCTAAACCCTACACCCTAAGCCCTAAACCCTAAACCCTAAACCCTACACCCTAAACCCTAAACCCTACGCCCCCTAAACCCTAAACCCTAAGCCCTAAACCCTAAACCCTAAACCCTAAGCCCTAAACCCTAAACCCTACACCCTAAACCCTAAACCCTAAGCTTTAAGCCCTAAACCCTAAACCCTAAACCCAAGGCCTAAACCCTAAACCCTAAACCCGAAACCCTAAACTAAACCCCTAAACCCTAAACCCTAAACCCAGTTCGCCTCGTAGCTCAAG